TACTAAGATATTCCCAATTTATTTATATTTTTGTATTTTTTCCATCATTTTGCATATATTTTAAAGTACTGAAGATGAAACAATCGTTTCGAAACATGTCTGCTCTTTAATAATAAATTTTAATATTTAATTATTTCTCACAAAAAGTTTTTACTTTTTCTATTTTTTATATATTTTATTGAGAAATATGGAGAATTTCATCCCTTTTATCTTATGTTAACTCACTAGAACTAACATTAGACCTACAACCAAAAACATTCAGACATGTTACGTTTTATGTGGGACAAAGTAAGTAGATACGCCCTGGTTTCTATGAAAATATATTTTTGTATATCGCATTTTAAGTGAAATTCACTGTATAATGTGGAACAAAAGTCTAAAAACTCATACGTAAGAAGACCATATATATATATATATATATATATATATATGGTAATAACAGTTATGATTAATGTATTCAGAAAGACATTAAATAAATACAATTGTACTGTACAATGTAAATATACGTGCGAAAAAGCATGTCTTTTCTTAGTATCAGTAACTAACCACACTTAAAACGAGTTTCCAATCAATTAGAAACTGTACCACAAACAAACCTGTTGTTATAAACATCAAATCTTCATAACATCATCCTGTGGCTGAAAACCTAACAGTAGAAGACAATTTCTCTTGGGGCGTTATCGCTTTTTTGATTCTTGTGTCTTAGCGTTTGATAAGAGGTTTGATAATAATAAGCAAAACACCAATTGCAATTAATATTAATTCTTTAGAAGTCATCATAATATGATAATATTTATGTATTTACAACTAAACCACACTAAGGCCCACTTTTATCACCTCTTGATAAATTTATCCCCTGGATAAATCCAACTCTTTGCCAATGAGAGCGTAAGTAGTAACTATCCCCTAGATACTTTATCAGAAAGATAGCAAAAGTGGGATTAAGGCCCACTTTATTCATCTTTGGATAAATTTAATTATCAAATATTTACCATAGTTACTGGTCAAATAGCCAATAGACTTACCTGTGGGATGTGTAAGCGATAGTACCATCAAGACTATTCAGATATAGCACAATAAGGTGCTACAGACCATATTATTTTAACTTTAATTTAGTTCTTGTCAAATTTTTGACATGAATTCTCTGGTCAATTTGACATCTTTATGTCAAAAATTTGACAGCACAACTGTCAAAATAAACTGAATATCAATAAAAATTACATCTTTTTTTATTAAAAATGTGAAATCTTTATAAACAATTATGGAAGAAAATGATTAAGCTCTGTAACTAAATCTATATTTCTATATAACATTTCTTGTTAACCAATGAAAGTGCTTAAAACAGTTGTAACCATGACAACAACCCCTTGTTAAGCTTCACAGATAATAGATTTAATAATAAGTTAATTAAAATCTAATAATAAATTAAAAAAAAAGACTAAATTGGATTGTTAATGCATATTTTTACCAACTATTTTCAACTACTGATAAATTAATTAATTAACAGTTTTACCACATACTTCATACAGATATAAAAAAAAATTTTTTGATAACCAAGTGCATCCCGTCAATAATAATTTAATCATTCCTATTAATGATAAAAATCTTTGCAGGATGCATGCAATACATCCTCATCTCCAAAAGCCCAAAGAAGTGGGAGAGTTATAAAAGCAAATGGCAGGATAGGATGTGAAAGACAGACAAATGTCATCGATTTTTTTCTAGACCACTGACCCATTTAACCTAGACGAATCGCGTAGAAAATCGAAATAAAGGCTGGTACTTACATGGTATTATTGTGGTATCCGGTATGGTACTGCATCTTGCAGTCGATCGGTGCCGTCGAAATACTGTCAATGGCGTCAGTTATCACCGCTGGAAGCGAAAAAAAAGTGTCGGTGAAATTTACAACGAACGGTTCGTAATTATATAAGGAAATCGGAATCAGGATTTCAACTGAAAGTAATCTGATGATGGATTTGAAAATGGTTAGAATGAAAACGAATAACGGCTAATTCGGCTAGGATTTTTAAGTAAAAGTATTCGATCGGGGAACACTTACATTCGACCAACCTGACCGGTGAACAAAACGATAATCGGCAATGCCAAGAAAGGCAAATGGAACGTCAATGTGACAGTTTAGTACAGCTTCTTTGCAATAGATGGCTATAGCAACATTTTTAATTAGAAAAAATTTATTTTATTATTCATTTATTTATTTTTTAGTTGATTATTATTAAACAAAATTATTATTGACCAGCTCGTTTTATTCGTAAACTTGTAAAATAAACAATTTTAACAGAACAATTTTAGTTTTTTTTTGCTATCACACGAACAGCTGTGCCACGATAATAATGTAATATTTGTACGAGAGATGGCTGTAATAAACGTTGTTAATTAGATTTACTAATAAAAATTGGGCTCTAAAATAAGAAAACCCAAAGTTGTTATCTTATCAAAACGAGCAACTTTGAGTTTTTAATCTTATTTTCCTTAGATAAAATTGGGAATGTAAGTTTATGCTAGTTAAATAGTTTAATAGTGGAATTTTAGATGGCGCTAAAAACGTGTAGTTGTTGAAATTGAAAATTAGGATTTAAAAGAAATAATGTTATAAAAGACAAATTTATTAATTAATTTTATAATTACTTACAAATATTATAAATTTTATATAAAATTGAATCTAAAAAAGTATGACAAAAAGTATAACATTGGATATTTATTATGTTTAAACAAATTGTTTTAAATAATCCATTCATATTTGTTATTTGTTATTATTTATTATATGGTAAATTTTAATAAATAAATTTCAATTTAATTGATATCCAAATAATTTATATAAACAATTATAGTGTAATATTTGTACAAAAGATGGCTTTAACAAATATTTTAAACTTGCGTTTAACTTGCTAAAACAAGTTAAAAAAAGGAAAAAATCTAAAAAGTAACCAAAATTAATGAATTTGTATTAAAAAAATATCACATAAATTTTTAATTTCAATAAAAATATTTGAAAAAGTATAAACTATTTAAATTTACCGCCTATTTTAGTAAAAATGGCGGACGATTGCTATGACATGGCTATGACCTTAATTTTAAAATGAATTTCTCAAAGGTTATGTCACCTCTTTGTAAAAATGAATTACGTAAAATTAAACTTTTATTTCTATAAATTAACAATTAAATAATTTAATCTTCGTCAAATTAAAACCTCACTAATTTAATAATTTGAATTTAGCGGTTTTTCGAAACTGATCACTACGAGTTTCCGGATTTTATCGACTGAGACACGCTTTCCGCCTTTTCCGTCTTGGCCGCTAACTAGGTAAGTGATCATGTGCGTTCAATAAAACATTAATTTTCTCCTTGTAACAAAAATATCATTTTCAAATTAAACCACCAAGATTTTTAATGAGCACCATGAGTGTTTCATTTGGTTTGAAGATTTTTTCTAGAGCACGTCACTTCCTTGGAGAAACGCTGTCACGTCGAAGTATACCAACGGGAATAAGCCAGCCATATTTAATATCAGCAATGTAAGTATACAAAAATCGTAAAAAAAATCTAAAAGTAACCTCAAAATGATGTTTAAAGGTCGTTTGGAAGAAATAATAGCAATACCGGATCGTTTCGTGGCCGAGGAGGCGCTGGAGGTGGTGGTGCCGCATCTTATCGTCGCAATGAAAATAACGCATACAACCAAAACGGTTATTCAAATGGATATAACAATGGTTCAAACATGAATGGAGCAGGGAATAAGTTTAGAAATGGGGGAATGGGTGGGAATGGTGGATCAAGGTATGGAAACGCACCTGGTGGTGGAAATGGGAATGGGATGTCCGGGAATAGGTTAAGAAGACCAAATTGGGATATGAACAAATTACGTCCTTTTAAAAAAGATTTTTATGTACCACATCCTGCCGTTGCGAATCGATCCTCGTATGAAGTTGAGCAATATAGAGCAGCAAAAGAAGTTACAATTGACGGGGATGTACCTAACCCAATTCAACATTTTGAAGAAGCAAATTTCCCTGATTATGTTATGGATGGGATTATGAGGCAACAATATGATCAACCGACACCTATTCAAGCGCAGGGTTGGCCAATAGCAATGTCAGGTAAAGATATGGTTGGAATTGCTCAAACCGGTTCAGGGAAAACCCTTGCCTATATCTTACCAGCAATAGTTCATATAAATCATCAACCACAAATAGCACGTGGTGAAGGCCCCATAGTCTTAGTATTAGCTCCCACCAGAGAATTAGCCCAACAAATACAACAAGTCGCAACTGAATTTGGAAGTTCTTCGTACGTCCGTAATACATGCATTTTTGGGGGGGCGCCTAAAGGACCACAAGCTCGAGATTTAGAACGTGGTGTTGAAATTGTAATTGCCACACCTGGTCGTTTAATCGATTTCTTAGAAAAAGGAACAACAAATTTACAACGTTGCACATACTTGGTGTTGGACGAAGCCGATCGAATGCTTGACATGGGTTTTGAACCACAAATCAGAAAGATTATCGAACAAATTCGTCCAGATAGACAGACTTTGATGTGGTCAGCAACTTGGCCAAAAGAAGTGAGAAAACTTGCAGCTGATTTCCTTAAGGATTACGTCCAAATTAATATTGGATCATTACAATTATCTGCAAATCATAATATTTTGCAAATTGTTGATGTATGTCAAGAACACGAAAAGGAAACAAAGTAATTAATAATTTTAAAATTGTTTTTTTTTTAATATATTTATGTTTTTGTAATTTTTGTTTAGATTAAATAATTTACTTCAAGAAATTACCAATAATGCAGAACCAGGAGCAAAAACATTAATTTTTGTTGAAACAAAAAAGAAAGTGGAAACAATCACCAGGAATATTAGAAGATATGGTTGGCCAGCAGTTTGTATGCATGGTGATAAGAGTCAACAAGAACGCGATTACGTCCTTAGAGAGTTCAGAAATGGCAAGTCCCACATCTTGGTGGCAACAGATGTTGCTGCTCGAGGTCTTGGTAAGTTTTTTGAAGATACAAAGTAATAACAAATATTTTGTTTTGTCATAGACTCCTTGGTATTTCATTCTTTGTTTTGTAAAGCTCTGTCTTTTATCCTTTTATTCATAAGGAAAAAAATTAAAAGAAAGGATATTAAAGGGAAAATGTTGTTTGGTAGCATAGTAGCATAAACAATCACTTTTTTTTTTGGATGTTCCAGACTGGTTTTGAAAATTTTGTTTTTAGTTTGTTGAACACTTTGAGAGTTCTTCTTTTATTTCTTTTGCTGGTTGGGTCGGGATAATTTTATATTAGAAAATATTTTAAGCCTTTTATTTCGATTTTTGGGGAAAGTAAATTTAATTTAATTATCAGGTTGATTTGAAATCATTTTCATTAATGATGGAATGTTCCAAAATTATATTAACAAATTTTTATATCTATATTTGGAATCTCCTTGCTTGATTGATCCATTGGTTAAAATTAAAGACAGATTAAATAAACTACTAAGAATAATAAAAAAAATTCCATTGTTAAAGTGCAAATCTGTTTTTAATTTTTTATATCTATGTACATATTTTTTTATAGACTTGTGACATTAACAACATTGAAATGAATGTAATTTGATGGATAGAAGTTAGTTTGTGAGCATAATTTTGGGGCACCTTATTATAGTGGGTTTTATTTGTCTTTCATACTACATTAATGCTTTTTCTGTTTTCAGCAGCAATACATTTTTTTATGGTAGAAACTAAATTAAAAAAAAAAATTTAAGTGCTCTTCTATTATATTCTTTTGCCCTTTCAGTTTGCAATCTCAAAGTGTTGATACTTTATTATAAATTGTGCTTTTTTATACCTTAATGTTGTAGGAAAATAATTTATTTCTCCTTTATTTATGGTGATGTTTTATGGTTCACTTAATCACATGCAGGTTAATTATCCAACTGTATACATTTTTATTTCAAAATGATGAGTGAAAAAAATACTATAAAGTTGAAATGAAAAAAATCTTGATTGTAAAGCATACTACATATTACAACTGAGTTACATATTTTAATTAGCCTTGATGACATAATATTAGAGATGATAACTAGCTTACTCTTGGGAGTCAAAGTAATGAAGTAACATTACATTATTAATGTTGTAGTTGTTTTCTTAATAAAATAAAACTAGGTAATTAACTTGTAGTCATAGTGCAGTAATAAACCAAGAAAACGCTTTGAATGGTTGATTTACTCTAAAATGTGTCAACAGGGTTGTATTATTGTATCAAAAATTGAGACTGGCAGTGCTTGATTAACAATAACCAGGGTCCTAGGCAAAAATTGAAAGATATGAGACTATAATTTTATTAAAGAATCTCCTTTGAACCTCAGCATGCATAATCTAGAGCAGTTTTTCCCAAACATTTGATATATGTGTACCCCTTCTATATTCGTTTTTTTTCTATAATGCTTGTCAATGTAAATTATTTAGGGTTTCTGTTGGTATTATCTAGGACCCTTATAAAATTTATGTTGTTTTCCTGATTTTTAGTAACATTTTCAGTATCTAAATAGTTGAGGTTAAAATACTAATAAATTTTTAGATAAATACGATTTTAACGAAGTACATATTTGTTGGTAAAACGTGCTACAAAGTAATTAAATAGAACAAAACACCTTTTCTAGGTAAATAAATGGCAAATAAACACACCACAACAATTTTTATGCACCTTTTCTTTTTGAATAACGAAAGCTCAAACGTCAGTGTGACATATTTATTTCAAAACATGATGAAACAAAATTTTGCCAACTTTACAACAATTTGGCAGGTATTATAGAAAAAAAATGAACTATATAATTTTCGTACCCCATGTCAAATAACAATCAAAATACATTTATTTATTTTTTGTTGGTACATATTCAAAATAATATAAACAAAAAATAAAATTATTCATAATAAAATATGAGTAAGTTATATTATAAATAACATTTATTTGGATCAATAAGAAGGATGAAATTGTTTGTGCTGAGATGACAGATTGTCATAATTTGGTTCCCTGGTTGTTAATTTTAATCTGAGATGCGATTTCACGTCCAATAATTGGTCCTTTTTTTCGACTTAATGTCTACAAATGCTGAAAAGGCAACTTCACATAAATATGAAGTTAAAACCGGATACACATGTTGCATTTGTAACCAGAATGATGTTAAAGTACATTCATTATGTTTATTTTTCAAAAATCCGTCTGAAGCCAATTCCAATAATTGCNACTTAATGTCTACAAATGCTGAAAAGGCAACTTCACATAAATATGAAGTTAAAACCGGATACACATGTTGCATTTGTAACCAGAATGATGTTAAAGTACATTCATTATGTTTATTTTTCAAAAATCCGTCTGAAGCCAATTCCAATAATTGCTCTTATCTTTGATATTTTATCCATTTAATATTTTTGTTTAAGTCGGGGAGATAGTTTTTCAAGCCCACTTACTAACTCCAAATGCTGTGTTATGCATTTCAGAGTATCAGCATCAGTTTTAATAAAAAACTTGTTATAAACTCTTGAAGAGAGGGAAACGAGTCTACTTCTCCATTACCAACTCTCTTTTGCAATAAATTTAGTTTTGCGATTGCAGCGTTCACTTTATTTTGAACGTGAAACAATGAAATTTCTTTGCTTTATAACGATAAGTAGAGGCAATTTAAAACAGAGAATAAGTCTGCTAAGTATGCTAGTTTACAAAGCCATTTCCAGTCACGTAAACAATTTCTCAACTCACATTTATAATTAAGAAAACATTGAAGTTCATGTCTAAGTTCAAACAATCGATTTACAATTTTTCCTCAAAATAGCCAATGAACATTGGTATAAAAAAGAAGCTGGGTATGACTACTTCCCATTTCTTCACATACTTATTTGCGAAAATGTCATTCAAAGGACTATTTTTAATGTAGATCAGCGGGCATCTTACATGTTGCCAAAACCACTGTGTGTATGTAACAACGTGTGTTTTTTTTTTTTATATTTACAATTTTATCTTTAATACATTCTAATATATATTATTTTCACCCTCTACCCTCTTCCTCCATTTCCACACCCTCGGCTCCTCGGCCCAATCATCCCCTCATCCATCCCTTTGTCTCCTCACCCCCACAACCATTCTCATCTATCGTTTCCCCTCTCCTAAGATCTGCCCTCGGTCCAACTCCTCCTCCCTCAACTCACTGCACCCATTCAACATATGTTCCAACGTTTCCCATTCCTCCCTGCATAGCCTACACCACCTCTCCTCATTGGACATCCAGTATCTGTTAGCTCTCTCCTCGTTTCCACAATGGAACCTAGCCACCAACTTCTTCCCTTCCTCATCTCCTTCCAATAACAAGTATCTAGGCAGCCCCTCCGTAATTATGTCCCTGTACCTTTCATTATACCTCCCCTCTTTTATTTGTGTCCTTCTTTCCTGTCTCTGCACATCTCGGTCCCTATCTCTCAACTCCCTCCACATCTCCCTACCCACCCTTCGTCTACTATTTATCTCAGTTACCGAGTAGCCCGCTCGTCTATAATAATTGTCTCTGTCTCCTTTCCCATATCTGATCTTTCCTTCTCTAATTTCCTTCCAACACTTCCCCAAGATCCCGCAGTTTGGCCTCCCTTCTATTCTTTCTTCATATTTCACTGCTCTCCTGCCCGCCTCCACTCTGACCTTATCCACCTTTACCTCTTCCCTCACTATATACCCCGGTGTTTCTCTCGCCACCCCAAGCACCCATCTCCAATATCTAGCTTGTACGTCCTCCAGCATTGCCTGCTCTCTCCATCCCCATACCTCTGCCCCATACATCATCACACTGCTAACCAGACCTTCAAACATAATCTTGCTCGCTGCCACATTCCTTCCAAAGACTCTCTTCCCCCAACCCCATACTTGTCCCATCACCTTATTCGCCTTTTTTGCCATAGCTATCACATGCGACCCCTCCCTGTTGTCCTCCCTGAACACATACCCCAAGTAAGTATACTCCCTAACCTCCTCGATCTCTTTTCCCTCCCATCTCCAGTTTTCTGTTCTTTTTCTCCCCCCCTTACAAAACTTCATCATCCTTGTCTTCCCCACATTAACTTCCAGCCCCTTCCCCCTAAAATATATTTCTAATGTCTTTATCATATCCTTCATCTCCGCCGCTTCTCTCTCTCGCACCTTTCTACCTCCCACCACCAACCCTCCCATTTGCGTCTTCCCCAATCTATCCTCCAGGTCCGCCGTATACAGTGCAAACAGACTTGGGATCAGCGGACATCCCTGCCTGAGTCAACAATGTGTGTATATGACATTTATATCCTCTCCACCTTTTGTGTGGACTAATAAATCATGAATTTCTTGATTTTTTTCGTATCTAACAAACGCCATAAGATTTGCAAAATTCGCAATATCAGTGGACTCATCTCATCGACTTGCCATACATAACAACGACTTTGTGAAATATCAGATTATAACATCTGTTTCCCATTTTTAGACATATCAATCATTCGTTGATGAACTGTATTATTTCAGAGAGGAATACAGTCAAAAGTTTGTTTCACTATATCTCCTATCATCTTCTGCCGTTATCACGGCTAGACTTCATTAAAATTTCGCCAATGGTTTCCACTACATTTTGCAATTAAAAGCGACACGCGATACGAAGCTTCTAGTATTTTTTGATTGTCACCTTCTGTTAAACCCCGCATTACTTTTCGAGACTGATTTAAATCCTTAAGTTTATTTAAAAAAAAATCTATGGGTTTATCTTTGTACTGAATATGATTTGTCTCAAAATGGCGCTTTAAGTTGGATAGTTTCATGCTTTCGTTTGTTAGATTTCAAAACAAATGACATAAAGCGGAATGGGCTCATTTTCATCTTCAGTCCGCGAGAATCCAAATTTAAGATATTCTTTGTCGTACTTGCGAGCTTTCCTTGCTTCTTTTTTTAACAGGTTCTTTCAGAATTGAAGTCGTTAATTTCATTATTAAATAACACATTATTTTACGAACTTGTAATGTTTATAGAAAATGTTATTTCAACTTTTTTGAGCTCATCATTTAGGTATAAAAAGTATCATACAGATGGTGTCAATTTACCTTGTACAATATAAAACCCAGCAAAACACGGCTTGTACAGAAATTTCGGTGCCAACTTATGTTGAAAATGAAACCCATTCTCACACTAAATTTGGCACAGGAATTTTCGAATATCCCATGCTATTATTTATCTAAAAATTTAAATTCGTATACTACATGATATATTGAATTATACAGGATGTTTATTTAGGTTGGCTTCTATGTGTACTGGATGTTTAAAATTCTTTGAACATCATCAAAATCTCACAAACTAAGAAATAATTAGAAAGTTAAATTGAGGCATATTCTGACATCAATGTTATCATCAATGTATTGCGAGTTTAAACGGTTTATAAAAAAAAAGATTATTATTTTAACACGGAATATAATATAAATTAATCAGTCTGGTTGTCCATTTTTGTTTCAGAGGCACATGCAGGATGAGCGTAATTAGCTCTCAGATATACGTATATGTTGATGATGTTGCTAATTGTACGCCTTAGTTGCGTTCTTATCACAAAAAGGATGCAATTCTGAGATCTTGCGGTGCCTCTGCCGTTTGCGAGGTAGAAGACCGATACTGGAAGATATGATTGACCTCTCTCCGCCGCGCTGCTTCACTCACTAAAAAAAAAAATACAAAGTACTCTCAAATGGATGAGGGGTCATTATTAAAAAGATAAATAAATAAAACAACAAAAAAAAAACGGTGTAATTTGTTGAATGATGTCTTCCGTTCGGTCCTGCAGTGGATTGACAATTCACATCAACGTTTATTGTATTGGAATCTGCTGCAGCCAACATGTTTGCTACTATTGCTGCTCCATTTTTATAATAAGCCAAGCGTCTTGTGGATTCTGTGAGTTCCGAGTGCGCACTGGTTAGTATCTTAGAATTTTCTTTTTTTTTGTTTTTCTTTTTGTTTCTTAATTTAACTTTTTAATTTCAAATTGTTTAATTTCAATTTATCAATCGAATAAGCATTAAAAAGAAGACAAAAATTTGTAATTTTAAAAATCTTTTTGGTGCTTAGATTAATTATTTTATTTATTATTTCTATTTTATTTAAATTTTTACTAAATTTACGTCATACATAGTATTTAAGAAAAATTGATTATTTAAATCTGGTTATATTACTACGATTTTTGGCCAAATATAAATATAAGATGTTTAAATTCGTTTAATAAAAAAAGGAAATTAATAGATTTTTTCTAATAGATGTCGAGGGAATCAAGTACGTTGTAAACTTTGATTATCCAAACTCGTCCGAGGATTATATCCATCGAATAGGTCGAACGGGCCGATCTGACAGCACGGGAACTTCTTATGCTTTTTTCACACCAAACAACTTCAGACAAGCAAAGGATTTAGTTGCTGTACTTAAAGAAGCTAATCAGGTACGAGCATTGAGATCTTATATACAATCTAGAGTGCGTATGCTGTTGTCTCCCAAGGTTTATATATTAAAGGTNTTTTTTTTTGTTTTTCTTTTTGTTTCTTAATTTAACTTTTTAATTTCAAATTGTTTAATTTCAATTTATCAATCGAATAAGCATTAAAAAGAAGACAAAAATTTGTAATTTTAAAAATCTTTTTGGTGCTTAGATTAATTATTTTATTTATTATTTCTATTTTATTTAAATTTTTACTAAATTTACGTCATACATAGTATTTAAGAAAAATTGATTATTTAAATCTGGTTATATTACTACGATTTTTGGCCAAATATAAATATAAGATGTTTAAATTCGTTTAATAAAAAAAGGAAATTAATAGATTTTTTCTAATAGATGTCGAGGGAATCAAGTACGTTGTAAACTTTGATTATCCAAACTCGTCCGAGGATTATATCCATCGAATAGGTCGAACGGGCCGATCTGACAGCACGGGAACTTCTTATGCTTTTTTCACACCAAACAACTTCAGACAAGCAAAGGATTTAGTTGCTGTACTTAAAGAAGCTAATCAGGTACGAGCATTGAGATCTTATATACAATCTAGAGTGCGTATGCTGTTGTCTCCCAAGGTTTATATATTAAAGGTTGTCTAAGTTCCTATGCTACAATACTTTGATTTTAGTTTGTGGGCGAGGGGCAAGAGCAGGAGTGTTTCGTGACGTAAGCGATCACGGATTGCGCATGCAACCTCATGGCCATGTGGTGCTCCATGCATTTGTTTAATTTGAATTGCTTGGCGGTATTATTTTCCACATGTGACGTAATACGCAGTATGGTTGCGTACGAACCTAGACAACCTTTTATATATAAACCTTGGTTGTCCCCACCACGCACCACGTCTAAAATGAATCTAGAAAGGTCGCCATGTTAGATGTACCAACTTAGTGGGAAATTCGAAATTCTTATATACAGGATGTATCTGAATGACTGCAACAAACTTCAAGGGGTGATTCTTTAGTGAATTTTAAGGGTACTTTAATACATGAACCATGGGCTACTTCGGCCTCCCTGGGGAGCTACGCCCCTTCAAAAATGGCGGAAAATTTTGGTTTAATTTTTTTTTCTCAAAAACTATAAACGCTAGGAAAATGAAATTTGGGGAATATGATTAACTTATAATAGCGCACGTTTTGACCCTATTTGTACTTTCAACATACCCTCCTAAACTACTAAACATAACCACCCCCGTTCAATTTATGCCTACATTTTTTTATGAAGATGATAAATACATTGGAAAAATTTCAGTTAGATAGATAAAACTATTCTAAAACTTTTTTGTCTCTCTGATGTTCTTGGAAAAATTAATAATTTCTGAGAAAAAAAATAATTAAGCAAACACTAACTGTTAAGCTGTAGGGTTGTTAATCGAAAGTTGGAATGAATTTTTAATGAAAAAATTTTAGTAGGCTTTGCAATCTTTGTCATAAATATTTTTGACGTTTAAATGTCAGTGGTTTTCGTACTATTATTATTGTTTTATTTAAAATTTTGAAACGTCGAGTGAACGAGCGTAAATGCGATAGACCTTTATTTAAAAACTAATTTGAAAAACAATAATAATAGTAAGAAAAACACTGACATTTAAACGTCAAAAATATTTCTGATAAAGATTGCAAAGCCTACTAAGATTTTTTCATTCAAAATTCATTCCAACTTTTGATCGAAAACCCCGATATTTAACGTGCAGTATTTGCTTTATTATCTTTTTTCTCAAAAATTAGTCATTTTTGGAAAAATTTTAGAGAGACAAAAAAGTTTTAGGATACTTTCATCTACCTCTAGTTCATTTTCTTTCTATAACAGCTGCCAAATTGTTGTAAAGTTGGCAAAATTAACAGAGAGTTTTGTTTTATCATGTTTTGAAATAAATATGTCACATTGACCTTTCAGCTTTCGTTATTCAAAAAGAAGGTGCATAAAAAATGTTGTGGGGTGTTTATTTACCATTTATTTACCTAGAAAAGGTGTTTTGTTCTATTTAATTACCTTGTAGCACGTTTTTACAACAAATATGTACAGAGTGGGCAAATTTGGATGTTATTATAGGCTATCTCAGAAACTATAAGAGATACAAAAAAAGTAGGTGCCATGTCCCGGTCTCTTTTTCCGAGACTAATCCAATCCCGTAAAGACCAAATCTCTATCTTCTTTTGTTTTTAATTTATAGCCAAAATTCAAATTTTAGTGATTTCAAAAAATGCTCATATTTCGTTTATTTTTGAAATTAAGGAAATGGGATTAATACATTCTTAAGACACTTCTTTGAGTAGAATATACTGCCGTTGAAAAATTTTTAACATAGCTGATAATTTTTGAGATATAACATAAAGTTGTATTTTTTTAAATACAAACTATACTTTATTATGATATTACTGAAAAGAGCACATTTTTAGCTTTCTAATGATGTATCGCACGCATGATGTTTCTGCAGAAAATAAGCGTTATTTTTCAATTTTTAAAATATTAAAGATTAAAATTCAAATTTTTAATTATAGTAGGCGAGGAAAACGCTAAATACTACTTAGTTACTATAGCAACGTGAGTTTACTTGTCATTTCATTCATGAATTTTGCGAAACGAGTTTCCCGTTTAAGAAGTTCCGCATTATCTTTAAATAAAACGATAAAATTAAATATAGAATATATTGGAGTCCGCTTTGAAGATGATACATAAGTCTTC